AAATGAATCCCTTTCAATCTCAAATCTTTTGGAAAAAATTTTTCTAGGGTTTAGGGAAAACATGGAATTTCTTTACGAAATTGATAAGGAATGTTAAGGAAAGTATTTGAACGATAAATATGAAGTTTCCATTAATTCTAAGAAGGTTTGGATATTAGGGTTTTTACACAAATTATCATTTTTATAATTTTGAATTATTTTAAATCCAAAAAATTTTAGAGTAATGATTAATTAAGTTTAAGGGAAGTTTTAGCATGATGTTAAGGTGTAAAAATAAAAATTTAGGTTTTCAAAAATTTTATTATTTAATAAATCCGAAAATAATATTTATTATTATTAAATATTAGGGTGACGATTAAGAAAATTTAAGATTCTTTAATTGTAAATGATTGAGTTTATGAAAAGTTTTGATAAACTTTAATGTAATATTGATGACATTTTTCCTTATGCAAAATATTAAGTTTTAAATGTTAAAGGGAGGAAGACGCTTGTCTAAGTGACGTCGTGCGTTGTAGTGGTTGTTTTGTAGAACTTTTTCAGGAGACAAGTGATGGTTGCACGACGACCGTATACGTATCGTCGTAGGGGACATCAGGAAGAAAGGTTGCTTTTTATGATTTCAGTTTGAGTCTTTGAGTTTATTTCCTGTGTAGTTTGTGAGTTTAAGTTTGAGTATGTACTTGTGTTTGATCATTAATATGGATTTTATGTAATTAATGGATTAAAAAGTTTTAATAGTTGTGAGACAGTTGAACAATTTGAAACATTTCAGTTTGATATTTTTTAGTGCCTCTTTCTTTTAAAGTTGGATGACGTTTATGTACTGATGTTAAATTTATAATGAATTTGATTATATTTTATATGCTCTTCCGTACGAACGACTGTTCCCTCCTAGTTATCAACGGGCTAGCCTGGCCGGGTCGTGACAAACGGAAACATCGTCATCTACTTGAAACAATGCGTACTCTGCTTCATCAAGCCAATCTACCACATCACTACTGGGCTAAAGCCTTACTAACATCAAAATACCTAATTAACCAGCTTCCCACGAAGGCTTGCAATCATCAAATTCCCTATCAGCTTCTTCGCAAACAACCTCCTAGTTACAACCACCTCAAAACCTTCGGATTCCTTTGTTTTCCCTGGCTTCAACCCATAACACCATCTAAACTTCATCCTCGCTCTCAACCATGTCTCTTCTTAGGATACTCTCCCTCCCATAAAGGCCATCGCTGCCTAAATCTTCAAAACAACAAACTTCACATTTCTCGCCATGTTGTTTTTCATGAAAATTCCTTTCCTTATTCCACTGCAATTGCTCCTTCTAATTTCACTTATTCCACCACCCCTCAACCAACTTTTTCATCACCTTATCTTCTTCTACCTACTTCATCCATTCCTCCACTTCAACATCTCTCTAAATTCCTCCCACCAACACGCCAACACCACCCTCACCATCTTCACAACATTCACTGTCTCCACACTCTACCTCTCCACAAATCTCTACATCCGACCCATCTTTCACTTCCACCATTCCTCCTTCTCATCCAATGCAAACAAGACTCAAAGTTGGCATTCATTGTCTTAAACGAATATTTGATCTACTGGCCATTCCCACCATTGATTTCATACCTTCCTCATTTTCCCAAGCCCACAAATTTTCTCATTGGAAAGCTGCCATGTCCGAGGAGTTTCTTGCTCTACAAAAGCAAGGAACATGGTCCTTAGTTCCTCCTCCCCCTAACACCAACATACTAGGCTGCAAATGGATTTTTAAAATAAAACATATGCCAAACGGCGAAGTTGATCGCTACAAAGCTCGATTAGTAGCTCAAGGATTTGGTCAGGAATTTGGCATTAATTTTTAGGAGACGTTTAGTCCAGTGGCAAAAATGCCAACAATTCGGGTGCTTCTACTGCTCTCCCTCCACCACCAGTGGCCTATCCTTCAATTTGATATCTCCAACGCCTTTCTCCACGGTGACATCCATGAAGACGTCTATATGCGTCAATCTTCAGGTTTTGCCGATAGGGATCATCCACATCTTGTTTGCAAGCTCCGCAAAGCCCTCTATGGCCTTAAGTAAGCGCCACGGGAATGGTATAACACCTTCACTTCATTCTTACTACATTTCGGCTTCTCATTTAGCAAAGCCGATCCCTCGCTGCTAAGTTATACTCGGGATAACATCAAGATCTTCATACTTATATATGTGGATGATCTTCTAATCACTGGCAACAACCAAATTATCATCCAACAACTTATCAGTCAACTTCACCATAAGTTTTCTCTAAAACAGTTGGGCCCTGTTTCGAATTTTCTGGGCATTGAAGTCATCAAACAGCCAACCGGTCTATTTCTTCTTCAATGCCAATATGCCAGTGACATTATCAGTTCAGCTGGACTTCAACAAAGCAAACCGGTTCCAACCCCAATGATTCCAAAACCAGCATACAAACCGGATGCCAATCTCCCATTCTCTGATCCGTCACACTACAAGCATCTTGCTGGATCATTAAACTATCTCACAATTACTCGCCTAGATATTATTTATGCTGTTAACAGCATATGCCGACTGGGCTAGTGACGCTCTAGACCGCAAATCTATCACTAGATTCTGCACATTTCTTGGCAAAAGTCTTATCTCATGGTGTGTCAAGAAACAACCCACAGTGGCTAAGTCCTCCACCGGGGCGAAATACCGCGCTCTCGCTTCTGCCACATATGATGTCATCTGGTTTCGTCAACTCTTGGATGATTTTCAAGTATCTCAAACCTTACCTACATCCATTTATTGTGATAACACCTCTGCTTTGGCGTTAGCATTAAATCCGGTGTTTCATGCTCGAACGAAACATATTGAGATAGATTACCAATTTATACGTCAGCATGTTAAAAATGGCGCGGTTCAGCTCAAACCTATCAACTCAGTTGATCAGCTAGCTGATATCCTAACTAAATTGCTTCATCCAACTCGCTTTGAAGACCTCATATCCAAATTGAGCATTCGCTCCTCGAATGCACAATTTGCGGGGGACTGTTAGCACTATACTGCAGGAGCATCATACCAGAAACTACTCAGTACACACAATTCCACTTTCTCTGCTCCAGCTGCTACTGAACGGCCTCTACTAATTCTCTGCTCCAGCGGCTACCAACGACTTATGCCTTAGTTCTATATATATATATATATATATATATACCTCTAATGTATCATGAGGCATAGATGTTAGATGACAATGCATTGAGCTTTAGCTTCTCTTCCATTTTCTTGTCTTCTCTAACTCTCCTGCAGGTCGCTTCATGTATGCAGTGGCGGATTGAGGGGGGGCCCATGGGGGCACGTGCCCCCCTCGTTAATTCAATTTTTGCTACAGCCCCTTCATATTTGCCCGCCCAAAGCAGAAAAAAAAATAAAAACTTGCGTACTCCAGCGATTCGCCTCCCATCTTATTCGCGATTTGCTTCCGCCTCCGGCATCCCTAGCCGGCTTGTTCGCGATTCCGCCGATTCGCCATCCTAGCCAGCTTGTTCGACGGCCAGCCAACGCTCCGACCATTCGCTCGACATCCCTAGCCATTTGCCCGGCTTGTTCGACGGCCAGCCAACGCTCCGACCATTCGCCCGGCTTGTTCGACGGCTAGCTTCCAGCGAATCACAATACCGATCCTTATTTAGGGATTCCAGATTAAGTCGTTTGGCCTACACTTCATCCTTGAGGTAATCTTAAATTTTTCTCCCTTAGGTATATGTTTATGCTTTCTAAGTTTTTTTCTATTCCCTAGCCGCCTTGTTCGACGGCCACTGCTCCGCCCATTCGCCCCGTTTGTTCGACGGCCAGCCTCCAGTGAGTCAGTGACCAGCGATCCTTATTTAGGGATTCCGGATTCGTTAGGCCTACTCTTCATCCGTGAGTTCATCTTAATTTTTTCCCCCGTAGGTTTAATTTTATGCTTTCTAAGTTTCTTCTACTGCAAAGTATGCATTCAGCACGTTAAGTTTTCATGTCGATCTTATGTGTTAAAACATAGGACTTATAATTTATAAAGATATTGATCGGTTGATATTGTAAAATAATAAATAGGTTTTTGTTATGGAGAAATATTTTAAAAAGGTTGCACATAGTTCAAATGAGACAAATAAAAAAGAGGATGAGCAAAATCGGAAAAGAATTCGCACGAAAATTGAATCGTCAAAAAATTTAGAAGTTGATTTAGAGAACCTTCCATCAGATCCTGGTTTGCGAATTCCTATCAATGAATTTTCTCATAATATTCAAGATCAAGTTCGTCGGTCGTATTTGCAAAGAGGTCCATTCCAACCTCACATTCATGAATTTCCTAAAACTAAATTTGGGGCAAAGGATAGAAGATTCAATGTTGCTTGGTTTGATAAATATTCTAATTGGTTAGAATACAGCATAGTCAAAGATAAGGCTTACTATTTATATTGTTATCTATTTAAAGCAGTTGGCAGAGGAAATGAGGATGATGATGCATTCAATAAGAATGGATTTTCAAATTGGAAAAAATCAAATAGATTTTAACTTCATGTTGGGGGTCATAATAGTGCGCACAATATTGCACGACGAAACTGCGAAGACTTGATGAATCAAAGTCAACATATTGGTTTTATGTTTAATATGCAAACAGATTATGCCACAACTGCATATCGGACTCGTCTAAATGCATCGGTTGATTGTGTGCGTTTTCTTTTAAGGTAAGGGCTAGCTTTTAGAGCCCATGACGAGTCTGACACATCCAGAAATCAAGAAAATTTTCTCCAACTGTTGCACTTTTTAGCTGAACATAACAATGCGATTAATAACGTTGTGCTAAAAAATGCTCCAGAAAATTTAAAGTTAACTGCACCAGAAATTAAAAAGGATATCACCAGAGCTATATCGATTGCAATCACAGACTTCATAAAGAAAGAAATTGGAGAAAATTACTTCTCTCTTTTGGTTGATGAAGCACGCGATATTTCCTCAAAAGAGCAAATGGCTATTGTGGTTCGATTCGTTAACGAAAAAGGTCAGGTGGTTGAACGTTTTCTGGGCATTATTCATGTTCCTGATACAATGGCCAAAAGTCTCAAAAAATCCATTGAAGAATTACTTTCAACTTATGGTTTAAGTATATCCAAATTGCCTGGTCAAGGATATGATGGAGCAAGTAATATGAGAGGGGAGTTTAATGGGTTAAAGGCATTATTTCTCACTGAGAATAAGGCAGCACATTACATACATTGCTTCTCACACCAGCTCCAGTTAGCCTTAGTATATGTTGCCAAAAATCATGTTCAAATTGCTCTCTTATTCTCAGTAATTTCAAATATGATGAATATTGTGGGGGTTTCATGCAAGCGACGTGACCAACTTCGAGATAAGCAACGGGAGAGAACTTTAATGGAATTACAGAATGGAGAACTAGTGACTGGACAAGGGTTGAATCAAGAAATAACTCTCAAGAGGGCAGGTGATACACGATGGGGAACACACTATGAATCAATTATTCGATTGATTACAATGTTCCCCTCAGTTATTGATATTCTATAAGTGGTTGTTGAAGATGGTATTAGTTCTGAACAAAAAGGTGAGGCTTTCGCATTATTAGGGACAATGCAATCTTTTGAATTTTCATTCTGTTTACTATTGATGAAGGATATACTTGGTATAACTGCTGAGTTATCACAAGCTTTGCAAAGGAAAGAACAAGACATTGTAAATGCCATGTCTTTGGTTCAAATATGTAAAAAAAGGCTGCAAGTTATGAGAGATTACAAATGGGAAGAGTTCATCACCAAGCTGACTTCTTTTTGTGAGCAACACAAAATAGATATTCCTGACATGAATGATAGATGGGTTGCTCGGGGACGGCCTCGTCGTAGAGCTTAAGAAATGACAAATTTACATCACTTTAGAGTTGAAATTTTCTACACAGTTATTGATATGAAACTTCAAGAGTTAAATAATAGTTTCACAGAGACGAATACTGAGTTACTTTTATCTATTGCTTGTTTGAATCCATCTAAATCTTTTTGTGCATTCAGTAAAGACAGATTAATTCGAATGGCACATCTTTATCCATGTGATTTTACTTCTGTTGAATTGAAAATTCTGGACAATCAGTTGAAAACTTATATCATGGATATGCAGTCAGATTCACAGTTCTCATTGTTAAAAGATATTGGACACCTTGCTGAGACAATGATACAGAACAAGAAAGATATTTTATATCCTCTTGTTTTCAGGCTATTAAAACTCGCTTTAGTTTTGCCGGTTGCAACAGCAGGAGTAGAAAGAGTATTTTCTGCAATGGCTATCATTAAAACTCGACTGCGAAATAGGATTGGAGATCAGTGGATGAATGATACTTTACTCGCATATATTGAGAAGAAAATATTGGATTGTATTGAAAATGATGTAATAGTTAATCTTTTTCAAAATATGAAGACCAGACGTTATAAATTGTAAGTATTTTCTATCTTATATTTAATATTCAATCTTTTTTAAAAAAATTTTTAAAACTGCCTATGCCGGTCCCAAGCCCGGATGCAAAAAAGTTGAGGGAAAATTTTTTTAAGGAATTTGTGCCCCCTCTACAAAAAGTTTCTGGCTCCGCCACTGCATGTATGAGTTCCTTTTTTCAAAGACTAAAATCTCTATTTAATTAATACATCCTACCATAACTTAACCACTTTTTTTCATCTTCCTCACAAAACGCCCATGGAAATTGATAACCTCCATTCTACACACTGTTTTATTTTTTTCCAAACTAATCATCCTTCCATGTCGATTTCTTCAGCATTATTCTCAAAAAATGCTAATTCCATATATAAATCATTTTTGACTTTATCAAAATATTTTATTTGCTGAAATTATCAATTCATAAATTAATCGTCTTCTTAAATAATGCAGTTAAGAGATTTCTTTTTTATCGACATTTATTCTAAGTCCTTGCCTTCTAATGTTTAAAGATGTGTCCGTATAAATCTATATATGCTTATAATTCTTAATTTTAGAATCGGTCATTCATATTTTCTTATTCAATTCTATCTCTTCAAATTCTCCTGTATCTTCAGTCGCCCTTTCTTAACTTACACCTCTCATATTCTCAAGAATCTACTGTTGCCTTCATCTACCGGAAGCAATACCGTCAAACTCTTCCAGAAGTAATAACATCACCTTCCATCTATCATAAAATTTTTTAGTTATATAATAGATACAAACTTCTTCCTTCTTTTCTAGCGTACTCTCAGTCTTCTTCTGTCAGAAATGTGAGAAGCACAACTTCACGTCCAATGCTGACGCCAATACAATACATGCAAATGAGCTGGTATGCCCACATTGATATATGAAATAATGTCTATTAATTTTACTTCAAAATCCAACCAAGCCCTTTTGCGTTCTAATATAAAGTGGGCAAATATGAGAAAAAAAAATACCCTTTATACAATTTAATATAATTTATTTTGCAATTAAATTTGAAATTTGAAATGATAAATTCTTAGGTTAAATCACTGTTAAAAAATGTTAAAATGATTATTCCTAAAATTCTCAATTCAAAATTGCTTGGAGAATTTAAACAGAAATAATTATGTCATCTGGATAAAAATTTCTGTCATTTTGCACTTACTTTATATTCAAATATTTAGGCAAATTGCAGCTTCAAGAGCAATTCTTGTGAAGATCCATGATTCAAATCTGATTAAAAAAAAAAAAGAAGAGGTTTTTTTTTTTCCATAATGTTTAAGAATCTCAGTTGTTTGAATTTACTTTTTTTTTTTTTTTTTGAATTTACTTAATACTCAAAGATTTGTTAAATCTTGATCTTCTCTTTCGGTAGTTTGCAGATCACCATCTGATATATTTTTATGATTAAATAGCAGTTATTAAGTTATTAATTAACACTTCTCACTTTTTTCATATATTTAATAAAGATAGTTTAATGCAATTTTTTTATCAAGTAATTTTACACAGCTACTTTATAAGTTTATTTTTGCATCTTTTTGGTAGATTTAAAGCTCGTAATTGTAATATTCTTTGCTTGAAATTTTAAATAATATAATTTTGAAAATCTTTTTTTTTAAAGATTAATGACCAAGTCGTTGTTTCCCTAAACGAACAATTTTGCCTAGTTTGAAATACGTTTATTGCATGTGCTTAATTAGCTAATTACGATATTAATGATGCTTAATATAAAATTTTGCCCGAATCCTAATGAAATTTTATAACTGTATCAATCTTTAGAATGCACCAAATTATTTAGTGCATTCAATAGAACGCACTAACTAGTTTGGTGTTTTCAAAATACACCAAATTGTTTGGTGCATTCAACATTTTAGTGTATTCAATAAAATGCACCAAATTATTTGGTGCATTTTGAAAACACCAAACTTTTTGATGCATTCTATTATATGCTCCAAATGGTTTGGCTGGGTTCTTCCTTTCTAAATTATTTTTATATTATACTCCTACAGCTAATTAAAACATTAATAGTGCTTCTTCCTAAAATTTGTTCTTTTAATATGCATATTAAATGCATTCTAGCTTCTTATGAGGCTAATTATATAAAAGGTTGTGCCCAAAGCAAACATGTGTATTAATTTTATAAAAGTAGCCTGTGATTTTACACATATTAAAATTTTTATTTTTTTATTTAATTTAATTTTATTTGATTATCTCAGTCTTAGCATTTGATTTTCGATGTCTTATAAAAGTGGCTTGTAATTTTACTCATATTAAATATTTTAATATTTTATCTAATTTTATTTTATTTTATTAGTTTAGCCTTAGCATTTCATTTCTAATGCCTGTAAAAATTGGTCAGTCAACTAAATTAAGAACTTCAACTTGGATCCAACAACAAAAATTAAAAACTTAAGACTTCTGTTTAGCCCTTGTTTTTTATAGCTACTATTAATTTGTCAATCTTCAACATTTTAAATTTTGATTTATCCTTCATTTAACTCACTAAATTCTTACTTGATGACTAAAATATCACCCCTTCAAATTGCTAATTAATTTCTCCTCATTAGATTTTCATTTCTCTTAGCTTCAACTTCTCGGCTTTTTCATTTATTCGACTCTTAAAATCCTATATGTCCCACCAACCCTCATGTAACTCGAAAATTATGTTACCTCCGCTAGTTTTAACACATGACAAGAAGAAAAATTTATGGAGACTTCTTCCAACTTTAGTAGATTCTTCACCATGAACTCTTCTTCTCCTTAACACAGTGGTGCATTTTTTGTCATGATTTTGCATAGACTTCTGGATGTTATTTTGCCTTAATAAAAAACTAGACATAAATTTATTGGATTGTTGTTTGACAAGATTGGCATTGTAGAAGGTGGTCACCACAGTGGCCAGCAATAGTCAAAGGTGATCATGTCATGTGTATTGATTTGTTTAAGTCATTTTCATTGATGCGTTTAAGATTAAGATAATAAAATAAACTTGAATTTTGTTATTTGTATTGAATTGTTTAAGGTTTATATGATTGAACAAACTTCATTTAAAGTTACTCAGGTTTGTAGGTCAAGGAAAAGATCATCTTGTTTAGGACTTAGCTTTTCAGCTTTTCTCATTTTGAAGTTCATACAAAAGGGGATCCATTGCAAACTTTTTATAAAAAGACAAATCTTTTGTTAACTACCATATGATTATAACTTTTTATTTACTAATTCATTATATTTGCTAGATATATATTTGATTTTTTTTTAATTTGGTGAGAAAATTTTAATTTATAATCCATTATCCTAGATCCTCCATTTTTGGTTTTACTGTTTATATCCTATTTACACTATAATCTTTTATCAAGATCAATAATATCCTATTTATCAACACAATTCTTCTCTCTTTGACTTGTTTCAGTAAATGTGATATTTTAGAAAACTTATGATATATATTGTAGTATAATTCAAATGGTCGAGTATATGATTAGTGTATATCATAAATTTTAAATTTGTATTTAATAGCTCATGAATACAAATTCAATTTCTTTAATTTACTTTTTATATATCTTTAATTTTGTTTTATTGAATTGCTTTTTTTTTTTTTTTTGTGACAATCAAACTGAAATTTAAAATGGGATTCATTTGAAGGACATCCATAGAGCAATCAAATTGAGTGGTTTTCACTTTGGATTATGCTAATCTTGTTGTGACGACATAAGGCTTTCTCAGGTTGTGTTTAGGGTATTATATTGTTTGCATATTCATAATAGAATAATAGATTATGCTAATCTTGTTATAATGGCATAAGAATTATATATATATATATATATATATATTACTTTAACAATATAATTCATATAGCTATGAAAGCAATCGATTAAATGAACTAACCATTTATTCATTGCCTTTTCAATATATCATACATTTTCAGTTCAAATTGAGGAGATTGTTTAGCTAATTTCCTTGTCAATTATAAAGTTTAATCTTATATGAAGGTTATTTTTAATGGAATGCATTATGATCTTCCCCATGAGTCAATTAGCATCCTTTAAGACTTAAAAAGTCACAAATTTTAATACTAACAATTTGAGATTTGTCACATGTATATGATTTAATGATATATTTATGGCACTAATTGAGCTCTCATAAAAGATTATAATTTGAAAAATTTAATAGGAGAAATTAAACATTTTTATATGGTTTGGTTTTCATTAGAGTTGCATAGAGCAATGGTGCTTTATCTCAGTTATGAAGTTTGCTACCGTCAACATCTAATGAAATAAACTTGAAATAAAGTAAGTTGTTGCTTGTTAAAGGTTGGATATCCATCTCACTTATGTAAAAGAAATATATATATAATTATACTCCATAATAAATATATCATTCATATATAAAGATTGAGTAAAAACTCATAATAGTCCTCCGGCTATTAGTAA